GCTCCTGTGTGTCTGTGGTTCGTTGGGGGGGATCCTGTGTGTCTGTGGTTCGTTGGGGGGGCTCCTGTGTGTCTGTGGTTCGTTGGGGGGGCTCCTGTGTGTCTGTGGTTCGTTGGGGGGGCTCCTGTTTGTCTGTGGTCTTGCAGTAGGGGGCTGTTGAAGCACTCACAGTAGAGGGGGCTGTGTTTTGGTTGGTTTTGGGCTCTGACGGGGCCACCTGGTCCTGCAGAGTCTTGAGGTCTGGAGGGGGGGTGGGTTTTAGGAAGGTGTCCCTGTTGACGGAGACGAAAGCGCTGCCGCTGCTGGAGGGGGTCACCCTGCTGACCTGTGAAGACCCCGTGTGGCTGAAGGTGGCATGGGGGGTGGAGGGGGAGAGGCAGAGGGACGGCAGCGTGCCCCCCGGCCCGGTCCTCACAGTGGTGGGTCTCAGCAGAGGAGGGGTGGTGAAGGTGGCCCCCCTGCGTCCATCCTGACTGTCCTCTGAACCCTCGTCCGTCTCGTCCTCAGACGAGTCCACCTCGTGGATGGCGTCCTGTTTCTGTAGAGACTCGCGGCGCTCGGCCCGGTCCTGACGGATCGCTGACAGTTTGTCCTTCAGTTTGTTCTTCCCGGGACCCAGACCCAGAAGTCCGGACCCCGAGCCCAGGGCGCCGTCCCCTTCCTGACGTCCTAGCTTCCTGTTTGAGGAGATGTGTTTGTGCAGGCTGCTCTTCTCCTTGCTGCACGCCACTGTCAGCTGACCTTCACTGGTGGACTCCTGAGGATAAACCAGAAAAACTGTTCAGAACCAGAACCAGAACCAGAACCAGAACCAGAACCAGAACCAGAACCAGAACCAGAAGCAGAACCATCAGAGGACCTGAGTCTGAAGTCCTACCTGCAGGCTCTGTAAGCCCGGCTCCCTCTGCAGGACGTCTTTCTTAAATTCAGAATGAGAAATGTCCAGGCTGTGTTTGCGGGTGGCCCCGGCCCCGCCCCCTCCTGCAGCAGGGGAGGAGGCGGAGCCAGAGAGCGAGGCGGCGAGCTTCTCGGCCGACTGCACCCTCTTGAGCAGCGGAGACCGCGGCGGCTCGGCGCTCTTCGGTCGGGACATCTGCCGGGCCAGAGGCGGTGACGAGTGGAGCTTGACGGGGAAGGACTGAGCGGCGGAGGCCTGAGGCAGGGCGTGGCCCGGCAGCGGCGAGGGCGAGCGCTGAGGAGAGCTGCTCTGGGGGGTGGGGGACGGCGTGCGGGCCAGTGGGGAGAGCGGGATGTTGCCGGCGGATTTGCGGCGAGGGGAGCGGTACTGGCGCTGGAGCTTGGGGGCGAGGCCGTGCAGGGAACTGGGCCGGATGTGGCCGGAGCTCGCCGGAGAGTTGGGGACGCTGGAGCTGGGCGAGCTGCTCTGAGACGAGTTTCCTCCCACTGACAGGAAGAGAACAACAAACAGCTTTAGGACAGTAAAACACCTGCAGCACACGCAGCCACTGAGACTCACCTGAGTGGGCGGAGTCTGGGGTGGACCTGTAGCCCTGCGTGGGGCTGCGGGGGGACAGGTTGTGGGTGGGTGAGCCGGGGCCGCTCTCCCCTGAGGACAGGGAGCGGTTCAACGAGGACAGACTGCGGCTGGTGTGGAGGAGAGACGCCTGCTTGGTGATCTTCCTGAACAGAGACGTCCTCTTCTTGCTGCGGGACGAGACGGGACATGAGACACGTCAAACCTTTTATTTCTGTAAATTAAAACGTCTGGATTTAAAGAACTAAAGAAGTCCTGTCCCACCTGTCCTGTCCCTCCTTGCTCTTGGTCTTCTTGTTGCGTCTCGCCATCTTGGACTTGTGGCTCGTCTTGCGGGCGGGGCCGATTTTGATGGATGTGTTTTCGAACGGCGTGGCAGAGATGGACACTTTGGCTCCGCTCTGAGAGACAGAACATCAGACCAGGTTCAGGACCTGGACCTGGTTCTGGTGGACAAAACTAAAGACTTAAAAAGAACTTTTACCTTCAGGATGAGCTCCACCACCTCGGTGTGGACCAGACCGTGGACTGGCTCACCGTTCACATGGGTGATGAGGTCACCCTCCCTAAGCCCCGCCTCATGAGCTGGACCACCCTCCTCCACATGCTGCAAACATGTAAACAACATGTAAACAACATGTAAACAACATCAGCTGAGCTGTTTTATTGTGAAAGGACCCTCACCCAGACCATGTGGTGGACCGTGTAGATGTCCGAGTCTCCCATGTAGACCCGGATGGCTCTGAGCGTGAAGCCGTACTTCTTTCCCACTCTGTGGATGACGATGGCGGGTTTGACGCTGGTCATGGCGGGGGACAGGTCCCGGCTCGGAGAGGAGTCCCTCGAAGACGGATTGGACGACAGCGAGTGGGGAGACATGGGACTGGCCAGCGGGGAGGCTCCGTGGTGATCTATAGAGACAGGAAGTTGGTTTGAGTCCAGCGACAGAGGAGAAGACTGGACAGAGGCGGGGTCACACAGACCTGCGGGGATCATCAGAGACAGCGTGGTGGCCGAGGCCGACTTGATGACCTTGTTGAGCGGTTTGGAGCTGGAGCTCGTGTGTTTGTCTGTGTCTCCGGACAGCAGGCGGTGGCGAGCCCTGCGAGCCGCCAGGTCACTGATGGCCTTCGGAGTGGAGGGAGAAACGTCGTCAGGCTTGGCCACGCCTCCGCTGCCACCGTTACCTCGATCAGACACGTCGCCTGAGCTGCCCGCTGAAACAAAGATGGACGTTAGGGCTCTCTATCAGTGGGTATACAGTATTTGGGGAGCTATATTTGGGGGACTATATTTGGGGGGGTATATTTGGGGGACTATATTTGGGGAGCTATATTTGGGGGGGTATATTTGTAGGTGGTATATTTGGGGGCCATATTTTGGGGGGTACACTGACGTGTGAGCGTGGTCTTGCTCTGCTGGCTGCTCGTGGAGCTCGGGGTGGTGGGAGACTCGTCCAGCTTCTGCTCTCTCTCCATCGGCAGCTCTGGAATGGCCAGAGGGAGGTCCTCGCTCCTCGGGCCTCTCACAAGGCCAGGACTCTTCCTGCTGCCAGTGGCTCCTGAGGGACAAATCACAATAAATGACTAGTCTTCCTGACGGTGRGCTGCAGCCTGAAGCTTCAGCATTGATTCAAACGTTCTGGTCYTGCACCTTGACCTCCCTCCTCTTCAGAGGAGATGGCGAAGCGAGGCATCTCGATGATGGCGGAGCAGCAGCGCCTCCTGACGGTCAGCGGCGGGCTGGAGTCGCTCTCTGTGTGGGATGACTCTGACACAGACAAACGCTTCCTCAGGCTGCAGATGATGAGGACAGAGACGTCAGACCCACAGTTTACTCTGAGATACTACAGAATCCTAACAGAACCGGGGATTAACTGACATCTCTGGAGATCCGACGAGCCAGGACCGGTCTCTGGACTTGAATCCACTCAGACTGTCGATGCGGTCTCCCCCCTCCTCGCTGAGGCTGCGTTTGGTTGGGGGCGGAGTCCTCTTGTCCTCGTGCAGAGACAGACGCTCCATACTGCTGTAAACCTGAACAGAACACACAAAAGACTGAACCGGTTCTGACCCAATCACGCTCTCATGACATGTTTGTCTCGTGTTCCAAGTGGGTGGGCACCTTGCTGAAGCGAGGGGAGCAGGAGGAGAACTGTCGGATCTCCACATGTTCCTCGTCGTTGGTGTCCTCTTCTTCCTCTGAGTCCAGGTGGTGGTACCGATCCGAACGAGCTGACAGACAAACAGAACCCTTCATTTTCCAGACTCAGACACACAAACGTGTGCGTGAAGCTGAAACGTACTGTCGAAGTAACTGGTGTCTTCTTCAGACTCCAGCTGAGGGATGAACTCTGCTTTCTGCCGCAGCAGACTGTTCCAGTCCAGATCTGTGAAGAACGGGTGCTGCTTCACCTCCAAGGCACTTCCTGCAGAGGTGACAGGAAGAACTGATCGGACCAGCCCGGACTGAACAGAACCAACCAGCAGAACCACACTGGAGATTTCATGTTATTATGATGTTCCTGTTCCTTCTCTCAACATTCAGAGACGCTCAGATGATGAAGAAACCAAGTGATGAAGAGTTTCTGCTTCGACCCAACAYGACCTATAAACTGCACTAACCTAACCTAACGTAATGTAGCCTAGCCTAGAATAACGTAGCCGAGTCCAGCTTAATCTAAGATATTTACACGTGGTACTTTTGTGACTAGATGTGGTCGAGACTCTCTCTGTCATGTTCTAAAGAACTTTCTGCTGAAGAAAATAAAAACTGGTTACCGGTGCCGAGTCGTTCCAGAGGGTTCTGTCGGAGCAGCTTAGAGATGAGGTCCTGAGCGTCCAGAGGCAGAGCTTCATCCCCCTCAGGCCAGATGATCTCATCTGCTCCAACGACAACCTTTATTTATAAAATGTCTTGAAAACACTTATTTGAAAACRATCRGGGGTAGGGTTAGAGTCTCAACCCTGTCTGTTCCTCATGAACCAATAGATGGGATTTAGTCCAAAGAGGTGGGCGGAGTAAAATCAAGCCACTGAATGTGAACCAATCAGAGGAGGTTTGGACAGAGASATTCCCACTCACCACTGATCACCTGACCGAACAGTTCCTCCGGTGTGTCCCCGAAGAAGGGAGCACAGCCCACCAGGAACTCGTACAGGATGACCCCCATGGCCCACCAGTCCACCGGCTTCCCGTAGCCCTGACGCAGGATCACCTCTGGAGCAATGTACTCTGGTGTACCACACACCTGCAGACGAGTCAAGGAGTTCTGAAGTTAGTATTTACCGGGACCAGGTTTGGGTTTTACTCTACAGAAGTAGTGAGCCAGTACCTGTTTGTCCAGGAACTCCCGGGTGTCTTTCTCGATGTGTCCCTCGTACAGGTTGGTGGTGAGACTCATCAGACCGATCTTAGAGAGGCCGAAGTCCGTCAGCTTGATGTGACCCAATGATGTGATGAGGAGACTGAAGCACAGGAAACCAGGACATCTCACTGAATGTAGTAAAAACTGAATAAAGACCCAGACTGGCAGAAGGACTTCAGTCTTACTTGTCAGGTTTGAGGTCTCGGTGGACGATGCCGTAGTTGTGAAGATATTCCAAAGCCAGGACCGTCTCAGCAAAGTACATACGAGCCATGTCCACCGGCAGGGCTCCGATGTTCTTCAGCAGCGTGGCACAGTCTCCACCTTCACACAAAAACACCAAACAAGAGCAATAAGACCAACTCCAGGTCCAACTCAGAGTAATAAGACCAACTCCAGGTCCAACTCAGAGTAATAGGACCAACTCCAGGTCCAACTCAGACCAATCAGTCAAACTCAAAGTAACCAGTCCAACTCCAAGTCCAACTCAGAGTAAACAGTCCAACTCCAGATCCAAATATGAAAACAGACAAACCAACTCCAGGTTCCAGCTGCAGGTCTCCATGTGTACTTTAACAGAAACTGGTCTTCTTTAAGACTAAATCCCGACAGGGTTCAGGTCTTACCCTCCACGTACTCCATCACCATGCACAGGTGCCTCCTGGTCTCGAAGGAGCAGAACATGGAGACCACAAACGGGTTCTCTGCAAACGTCAGGATGTCTCGCTCCACGAAGGCCTGCTGGATCTGGTTCCTCAGGATCAGGTTCTGCTTGTTGATCTTCTTCATGGCGAATCGTTGTCTGGTTTCTTTATGTCGAACCAGATAAACGGCTCTTTGTGAGAGGAAACAAAGAGACAACGTTAAAACCACGCAGAGTCCAGGATTCAACGTGTCAGCGCAGGAGGCGGTGGTACCCGTAGGCCCCGTTACTGATCAGCTTGATGGTCTCAAAGTCCTCCTCTCGAGGGGTTTTGGTTTTAATCTGTGGGGGGGAAGCAGGAACCGTTGTACTCTGGCTCTGAAGAAACAGGAAATAGAAAAGACTAAGAACAATGAATGATCGAAGGGGACTGGCATCAAAGAGCTAAAGCAGCTAACTGACAGCTAAAAGCTAAAATAACAAGCTAAAAGCTAAAATTAGCAGTAGTGAAAGTAAAAAGCTAAAGGTAGCTGAAGAGATCTCATGTTTGTATCATAAAGTAATTTTAAACCCAGTAAAGGTTCTGGTTGGACCCACATCAACAGTATCATCGGTCTCAGGGGTTTCTGGGTTCCCGCTGTCGTAGCTGCTGAGCTGAGTCATTTCTGAAAACAGAAACAGTTTCTGACCCAACTGAGGAGAATCTGTCAGGTTTTAATAAATAAACAAACAAATAAAAGGTAAACAAAGTGCACAGTGGTGGTCCTACCCTCCAGGGGGTCTCTGGTCAGGCCCAGCTGGCTGATGATGTACCGGGGGATGTCGGACTTGATGCCCTGACCCTCCTTGGCGTGACCCTCAGCTGCCTCCAACAGGTGGTAAAACTCCTCAGGATCAAACTCCTGAGGAGGAAGAGGAGGAGGAGGAAGAACAGTTAGGAGCTGATTCAGGATCAGWGAGTCTCAGGTTCAACTCCCTGCCATGCCGAAAGCATAGCCGACACACTTTCAAAATAAAGTTTTTTTTAAATAATTAGCCTATATTAGACTAAAACAGTGTAAAGCATATCATATTCTGTCCTATATTTGCTCTCTTATACTAACCATAATCAGACTTTGAAACCCTATTTAAACATCAATGAAAAGTTAAGATGTACCTTATTTTGAAAAACCAGCACCGCAGGTTCTTGTACACAGAGTGATGCTGTGTGTGTAGTCCTCACAAAGATAGCAAGGCATGTATGTGTGTGTAGTCCTCACAAAGATAGCAAGGCATGTATGTGTGTGTGATGTGACGCGATGAAAACTGTCTGATGCTACAGCCTTGAGCTACCTTTTTTTTCTTTCAAGGAAGACGACAGGTGCCACAGCATGGTTACCTTATCAATAGTTACTCTGATACAGCAAGAATCACCAACACAGACCCTGTGTGTGACCRRGAGTCAGTGGCTCCATGTCTGTTCTAAAAATACAGCTGATCAGCAGCGCAGCTACAAGCTAATGTATGCTCCTTTTCCAGTAGTGCCACAGTGTAGTGTCGGTACTGTTCGTACGATTACAAACCATTTCCATTAGGCCAGATCCACGGAACCGGCACTTTTTTTAGTACCTAATTCATTGTGGTTCCAAGCAGCCCCATCTGACACCAAAATGCGATGTCAGAACACTGTTCGTCACTGATTGGCTAAATTTTTGCAAATTCGTAAAATTTCAAAAGTTATTCATCAAATGTGTTTCCATCTCTCATTTTGCCCATTAACTTTTTTTTTTTTAAATACCTAAAAACTGTTATGTTTTAGTAAAACTCCAGACAGGACTTCGTTTGACAAACTCAGTGTTCTTCTTTTTTTATTTTTTGTGTCACAYCTGCTAACATACAATCACTTAGTACTCTTCTTCATGTAAAGGTACAGGTAAAGGTGCAAACACTGCCACCAAGTGGATAAGTGTTTTCAGACTATCACCACATCCCCCTTTCTTTAGAACTTTTTTTTTTTTTTTTTTT